ACTGTCTTACGCAGAATTTGCTGTATGAGTCAACTGTCTTCAGTATTCTTTATTCAAGGCATGGTGTTCACCTATCCTAAGTTGTCTCAAGTCAGTACTAAATCTGCCCATCCACCTCTTCTTTAGCCGTTCCCATGGCCTTTTTTCCAGCGACCTTCGGAGGCATTGCCACTTTTGTAATGTGGGTCTCAGCTCTTTTACTCACAATCTTCTTGGCAACTTTTATCCTAACTGTGGTATACACTATGAGCCATCAAGGTAACACTCAATGTCCACCGCAGCATTCTTGTCTAAATAAATAAGCTTTACTTAATTTCGCGTATTTGGCCAACATTCACTGCATACACTGCTGGTTCACAATATGATATATTCGGAATTTAATTCGTGCTGGCATCCTTATCACATAGAACTCCTGTTAAAGTTCTTCTTTTTATCCATGCTGCATTTCTCCTAGCCGACAACTCATCTTGAAGTCCTCCTTTGCCACAAATGCGACTTGCAAGATAATTGAAAATACTTGCTTCCGTTTGAACGATCGATTAGCTCGCCATCAATGTATATGATTTCTTAAGTTTGACCTCCCTCTAACACTCTGTTTCTTTGTGTTGGGTTTCAGCAGTATGAAATTGGTTCTTCCATTTCCGCACCTCTTCTTTATGTTCTTTTCTGGTTTCTACCACACATGCCACATCATCTGCATATAGGAGAGGCCATGAAAGCTGTTGCTTAAGATTTGCTCGTTGTGTCCATGACTGTGAGGAAAAGAAGAGGAGAGGGACTGATCCTTGAGATGCGCCGGTCTGTATGCGGAATGCTTTTGGCTGCCCTGTCACGTTTGCATATGGGTCGTCGCTCCATGATAGGTCATTTTTATGCATTGGATATGCAATTCTGGAACCACGTGCTTTCGCATGCCCACCTTATTACATCATGGGGTAACTTCGAAAGCTTCTTCCAAACCCAGCAAAGTCCCATATAGCTCTCTTTGTTATTATCTACGTTTCTCTATCAC